CTAGTACGTGCTCGCGTTCGGATAGCAAAACTATAGAGACGATCCTCGGGATAGCGTACGTGAGAATAGCATATCCTAAAAATAATAATATTCGACGTCGTATTTAAATTAATAAGATATTAAATTAAATAATAGATTGAATAATGGTTTAAATAATAATTAAAGTGTTAGACAACACTTTAATTATGTAAGGAATACTTACAAATTTATTCGGAATTATTTAAAGTGTTGCAAGGCGTTTTCGGTGAGCAAAAGGGGTTTTCGATGTGCTTGGGAGGGTTTTTGGTTGGAGGCTTGAAGATTTGAAGATATTGATGAATGTTCTAGGTTTTCTTGGTGTTCGTGGTGAAATAAGAAGATCTGGGCAAGAATCTTATGAATATATGTTGTTTACGGATGATACTTGAGAGCAAAAGTGGGAGTGTTTACGGTGGGGAAATTGAGAAATGAATTGGGTTTGCGGCAAAACACATATAAATAAGAAGGGTTTTCGGCCTTAAAGGGCCTTTGGCTCTGGGTTTTCGGTCCATTAAGGGACCTTTAGTTGTCTTTTCGGCCCATTAAAGGGTGATTTCGGTCATACTTGACCGAAAACCCTAGTTCTTGATTTATTCCAACCGTAAACTCCATTTGAATTAGATTACTTGGCCGTAAACTACTTGATTCTTGATTTCCTTGGACCGAAAACTATTATATGGTGGTTTATTTTATAGTTTAAACCTTTGTCTTCCACTTATGTTAATTTATACTAAAAAAATCAACTTAGGTTTCAAACTATACGTAGTTATTAGCTAATAAACATGCCCTTAGGACAATAAAGGATACAATACAACAAGGATTGAAATGTGGTTTAGACTCTTATTGATTTGAATATGACGAGTTGTTACAGTCAGTGAGCAATTTTTTCAATTTTTTCAACTTTGAACAAATAACCTATGCATCAATATAACAGAAAACACACATGCTCTGATACCACTGTTGGGTTTTAAATACTATAACACTCCTATGGTGCACATACAACCCTAATGCTTTGGATCTAAGTTTTCTCTAGTTATACATGCAAATTTCATATTCCAAAACATGATGCCTAACTAGCATACAACATTGTTATTAAAAACATAAAACTAGTTAGATGATTACCTCTTTGATGTAGCTTGTAGAACTTGGCCTTTCAAGAGCTTAGCACCTCAAATGTGATGCCTCAAATGGTTCACAAACACCATAAGCAATGGAAGACAATGAGAGAGAGGATAGGAGGCACACCAAAAACGTCTACGGTTCTTCTTGGAACTCTTGGGGGGGGGGGGGGTTTGGTGGTGCTAGGGGTTACATTTATAGTGTGAAATTCCTAGGGTCTAACTTGTAAACCCTAATTCACTTCCTTGGGCCTTTAATCCAATAATCCATATGATAAGCCCTTTGGACTAACTCTTCATGGACTCCCACATAGAATTAGTCCATCCTAATCAATATGGATCATTAGCCCAAACTATAAATATCACTGATTTACCTAATCAGTCCCCGTTAATTTAATCAGTCTCTTTTGATCACTAAATTAATTCCAAATTAATTATTGATCAATACTAGTTAAATAATATGATTTTTCAATTAATATATTATACTTATAATATATTAATAAATCACAAATAACCACTTTCTCAAATATACATCCTATCAAATTGCTCTGGTGAAGGCAACCCAAAATGGACCATGCTACTATCGGGTCAAGTACATACCAATTATAGTTATGGGCTTAGACACCTAATCCAACACTTGTTGGGCCATATGAATGTAAGTCTTTGGACTAGGAAAAATTAGTGGGACTTGGGGTAAGGCTCATGTAAGGGTTTGGGCCTTTTGGATTATAGGTTTGGGCATAAGTTTTGGTCCAAACTAGGTAAGGGGTAGATTGGTCGTTTACCCTAATTATGGTCCGATAGTTATGGATTGGAATCCAATTGTTAATTGGATGTTATTTGATATTGACAGCTCGGGGATTTGTCGGACCAACAACCATGGAGATATCGTTGTGATTCAGCAGTGCGAGGTGAGTATTCTTCTAGTGCTCATGAGTCGAAGGCACCAATGTCGGATCACTAAATTATATATGTAGGATGCTAGCCGTCTCTATGACTCTTGCATGTTTGTATGAGCCTGTGTAGTAGAATAGTTGTATCTGTGGTGACCAGCTGGGTCTAGCTGTTATTATAGTGTTATGTTGTTTATATGTGACTGAGACTGTTGATAGTCTCCAGGGTTGCTGATAACCCACTGGGTGTGTTGTTAGCCCACTGGGACTGCTGGTAGTCCTCAGGTTTTCTGATAACACATAAATGTTTATTTGTGTTGTGTTGTGTGTGGTATTCTTGGGGAACTCACTAAGCTTTGTGCTTACAGTTTACAGTTTATGTTTCAGGTAATTCTGTTTTCAGAAGGAAGAGCTTGGGATGATTGCAGAGCACACACCGCATCGTTCTGCATTTTCTCAACTTACTCTGATATGATGTGATGATTGACACATTTGCTTTATTTGGATTCTTATGATGATGTTTCTAGAATACTGATTTTATTAATTTAAAAAGAAATTTTTGGGTCTTATTTTTGGGATGTTACAAATTCATAGTTATACAGTTAATTCACAACTTAATACAGTCATATCACAATTTAATACATAAAATTCACAACTTAATATAAAAAATTCAAAGTTTAAAAAACAAAAATTATACATTCCCGATCATATTCTTAACTTCAAACCTATACTTTAAGACTTTAATTCACAATTTAATAAAGTAGTTTAAGTCACTCATTCATAATATTTGCAACTTAAAAACATAATTGATTTTGCTGAAGTATTTCCTCAAATACTTTGTGTGCACCACATAAATTCACATTTTAATATAACATTTCAAGACTCTCATTCAAAGTTTAAAAAAACAGTTTAGGACTCTCATTCATAATATTCACAACTTAAAAAAAATTTAATTCACTCATTTATAGTTGAAACTAACTTTAACACGCATTTTAAACTCAATTCACAACATAAATAACATAAAACATAAGCTATGAAAAACAATTTTATGCAAATACTATAACAAATAAAAAAACAAACTTTGATTCACAACTTAGTAACGGTAGATTCACAACTTAATATTTTATGCAAATATTATAATAAATAAGAAAACGAATTTGAATTCACAACTTAATATCAGTTGAAACTAAGTCGTAGGTTGTAACAGAAAGTAAAAAAGTAAATAGTAGGCTATTACCTAATGCATAGTAATACTGACAGAAATTAAAAGAAAGCATTGAATATATTACATTTATCTTTTTTAAAATTAAAGTTGTTGTGCTAGCACCAGCAAACCAACATGTATCTCTCTTTTGCATCACAAAAGCTTTGAATTTGCTTTTTTTTTTTCTGGTGATCAGTAAGTGGCGAATGGACAAAAAATAGAGAGAAAGGTCTGCTCCGGTAGCAAGGGCGTCATATGGCGAGCGATGGCCGGTCTAAGGTAGTTTTGGATTATTTTTTTAGTTTTGGTTAGTGATTGTATATGACATAACTGCTGTTTATTTACCTTTGATTTCGATGAGGTGTTTATTTACCTTTGATTTCGATGAGGTATGTAAAGCAGTGGTTGTAGAAAAGCAACGGGGGTGGTGGTCGGAGACGAACAAGCTGGCTGGAGGTGATCGGAGATGAAACAGATCTGGAAGGAGACGATAGCGGTGAATCATCGTCACTCGTCTGAACTTGTAGATCAGGCGTTAACGCTTACCGGAGCTCGTACATCTGACCTTGCCGCTCGTCGGAGCTTGTAGATCTAGCGTCGATACTCACCGACACTCGTAGATCTGTCATCAACGCTTGTCGAAGCTCATGATCTGGCCTCACATGTCAGTGGTGGTGTTGCGGTCATTGTCGATGGTGGCAATTACCGGCATAAATCCACAGATCTCGAGATGTAGGAGGATGAAGCTAGTGGTGGATTTGATGCATGTTGAATAGAAAATAACATATCCGGATGGTGGAACCACTACCGACTTAGATTCCGGCGAGCCGGTAGTGGAGCCGACATTATCGACGGCAACGATGGCAGGAGGTTGCCGGTAGTAGAAGGAAGAAATGAAGGAAGGAAGAGGTTGATGTTTATGATATTATTTGAGAATGAATCAGATCTACTTTTAAATTGTTTTTTTTTTTAATTTGATTATTGTTTGTGAAACTAGTCTAAGATTTATTGTTATTTACAATCATGTCATTCCTTTTTTAATAATTGGCTGACGAAAATGTTATTTTTATAAACATTTATTGTAGAAATTACAAATGTAGCTTAATAAAATGGTTCTTGAAGTTTCACTCTTCTTTATTGTAGAAATTCCTTTTCTAACTTAGGGGTGTTTGGGATAGCTTTTCAGACAAAAAGTCCTTTTTAGAAAAGAACTTTTTGATTCATATCTTTTTCAAAAAGATAGCTTTAAAATGTGTTTGTTTAAACTTTTGAAGAGGGAAAGGAAAAAAAAGGCAAAAGTTGCCAAAAGTCACAGATTCGTGACTTCTTAAAAATCTTATTTTTCTTCTTCTCAAAAAGCTAATTTAAAAGATCTTTTCCAATTACCAAACAAACTTTTTAAACTTTTGACTTTTTGGAAAAATCAAAAGTCTCAAAAGCCATTTTAAAAGCAAAGCCAACCACCCTCTTAGTCCTTCAAGTTTCACACTCTTTTTTTTGGTTTTCTTTTATTATTATTGCCATTAATATTGTTAAAAGAAGAAATAAGTTAGAAAATAGAAGGAAGGGAGGGATCCGAGAAGAAGATAACACAACTAATTAAGTAGCGTACAACCATCATTTAATTACGTAGTCAATCTTGTCACTTCCACATAAAACCGAAAAATGGCAAGGGATGGATTCCAAGGTACGTACACACCAAGCCTTGAAGTACATAAGATAGCAGATAATTGTAGCTAAGGTATATCTATAATTACTAGCTGCTAATTAATAAAAGAAACCCTTACGGATAGGCTTCCTTTTAGGGTAGTCCACAAGCAGAGTCCCACCATACATGTTTGCCGCCTGGTAGGAATCTATCACCATCTCTGTTTCTGGCGGTGCTTGTTGAACAAAATATGTCTGCTGGGGTTTAAATTTGTATTGACATGAAATCATCTGTGGTTGAGTTCTATATGGTGGAGCAGTTGCTGCTGCTGCTGATGAACGCTTCGAGTTTTGCCCACGTGGGAAATGATCATCGAGGAGAGAAAACCCTTCGGCCCCAATCTTTTCGAGGTCGGGCTTTGCTTTTGAGTAATATGACATTTTAGAATAAGGTGATTTAATTAACCACAAGAGAAAGAAGTAGTATATTTTTTTTTGTTGTATTTGCTTATGGTGTCTATACCAGAGATTATATAGCTGTATATATAGAAATGTTTAGGTAGCTCTTTAGTTAATGGCAACATCCGTAATATTTTGGTTTTTTTTTTTTTTTTTTTTTTTTTTTTTTTTTTTTTTACAAAATTACGTATCACTTACCAACCTGCTAGTAAAGGAATTATTTCGTAAATGTGTTTTTCAGTACTTACATATTCAATTTAATAATATTTCATTCGTCTTTATTATTTTCATTTGTCTTTGTTATATCAATATATGTAAATATTTTTAATAACATGTATTAGATCGATTTAATATATTAGGGATTGTTGTTCTCCTATTTCTGCAAAATCTCTTTAGGTAATTATCTAAACAAAGTTCATAATCACTACTTTCGATTAGGGAATATCTAAAAGACGAAAGATAATAGAGTAAATTATACGAATCGTTCATCGGTTAGGTACCAAAAAACATGTTTAGTCCTTATTTTTAAAAATTAACTCGGATCGTCCCTGTGTTTCCATTTCCTTGCACGGTTATTCCTATTGCCGTTAGCCGTTAGTGGTTTCCGTTTAAGTGCCCCAAAAACATGTTTAGTCCCTCGTTTCTTTTAAATTTATCATTTTAGTCTCTCGTTTCTTTTTAAAAAATTATATTGCCATTTTTTTGCACTTATTTATAATTTATCAGTTAAATTAGATTAATTATAAATTTTAAAAACTTATATCATTTTCATCTCTCTCTCTCTCTCTCTCTCTCTCTCTCATTTTCTCTTTATTCAGTGTCCTCTTTTTCAATTCGGGCACCTATCTCATATCATCGTCGACAACCATCTCCTTTCACCGTAGGCACCTTCACCAACCACCACCTTTCAACACCAAATTTGATACTATAACCAAAATCTAAAACTCAAACCCAAATTTGATACTAGAACCATAATCTAGAACCTATAATCAACACTAGATCCTAATCTAAAACCTTTAATCAACACTGATTTTCGAGATGAAGTCCCAAAACCTAAAATCAGTTATGAAATCCCTACATCGATGCAAAATCCAGAGGGACTGGGATGTAGAATCGAAACCCTAGATTTGTGTCCTATATTCTTTCTCAGCTTTTGCAACCACCTCTTATCACCACCGGAGAAGTGAAAAGAGTTGTCGAAATTTAGATCTGCGGATGGAGTATAGATCTGAAATCTAGATGTAAAAGGGTTGTTGATGGCATGCCCTAAATCACATATTGAAACATAGAAGACAAGAGAGGACGACAACGAAGGGAGTTGTTGGCGTACCGTAAATTAGATTAATTATAAATTTTAAAAACTTATATATATATATATATATATATATATATATATATATATATATATATATATATTCCCTGTCCCCTTTCTCAATTTGGGAAACCACCTCGTATCATTGCCGACAACCAACTCCCTTCGTTGTCGTCCTTTCTTGTCTTCTCTATTTAAATATGTAATTTAGGGCATGCCATCAACAACCCTTTTACATCTAGATTTCAGATCTATACTCCATTCGCGGATGTAAATTTCGATAACTCTTCTCTCTTCTCTTCTCTGGTGATGACAAGCGGTGGTTGCAAGAGCTGATAAAGAAGATAGACACAAATCTAGGGTTTCGATTCTACATCTCAGTCGCTCTGGATTTTGCATCGATGTAGGGATTTCATGAGTGATTATATGATTTGGGACTTCATCTTGAAAATCAGTACCGATTAAAGGTTTTAGAGTAGGATTTGGTGTTAATTATAGGTTATAGATTCTAGTTCTAGTATCAGATTTGGGTTTGAGTTTTGGATTTTGGTTATAGTATCAAATTTGGTGTTGACGAGTGGTGGTTGGTGAAGGTGTCGATGGTGAAAGGAGATGGTTGTCGATGATGATAGGAGATAGTTGCCCGAATTGAGAAAAAGGATACATAATAGAGAAAAAATGAGAGAGAGAGAGAGAGAGAGAGAGAAATGGTATAAGTTTAATATTTATAATTAATCTAATTTAATTGATAAATTATAAATAAGTGAAAAAATAAAATAAAAATTGACACTATAGTCTTTTAAAATGAAATGATGGACTAAAATGATAAATTTAAAAGAAACGAGAAACTAAACGAGCTTTTGAGGCACTTAAACGGAAACAACTAACGGCTAACGACGATAGAGACTAACCGTGCAAGGAAATTGAAACATAGGGACGGTCCGTTAATTTGTGAAAATAGGGACTAAACACGTTTTTTGGTACCTAATCGAGGGACGATTCGTGTAATTTACTCAAGATAATATATATAAAGAGGACTAAATAATTAAGATACAGTCTGAAGTGAATCAGATTTGATGCAAATATAAAGTTGTATCAGATATATCATATCAGATCCCTGATTATCTATAAAATTTATTAGTTAAGATACAAATCCAACGAAATTGGTAAAGGTCTATTATTCTCTTGAGTGCGTGTTTGTTTAAAATAGAAACTTGAAAAGATATTTGAATTTATTCCTTCCAATCTTATAGTTTAATCATGATTCTTTCTCCATTCGTAGTGGAGTCTTGGAGATACCCTTCAATCATTTACATATATCTTGACGTATCCTCTCGTGACGTATCATATAACATGTCATGCATGCTGCCTTGTTGAATTTCCATTTATTTTTTAGATCAAAGAACATGCCATTCTCGTTCTCGAGAAAACACTAAAGAAGATGGATTGTAGGGCTTTGTTTTAAAAGTTCATCGATGACGTGGTGCTTTATAACCCTGATTGGACCATAAATATCATATATTTTCCAAGTTTGAAATGGAAAAAAATATTTATGACCTTGGTTTGGTATAATGAACATCGAAAACAAATATCAAACAAATGAGAAATTAATACCAAAAAAAAATTCCTTTTTTCAGTCTCACTAGCTTCTCGTTAGTTGATGATTAATAGTAAAATATGACGCTAAAAATATTGTTGCTAAAAGAGTGGTGTTGAGATGTTATCTTTAAAAAAATTGAACATTTTTTTTCAGTTTTACTAGAGTGCTTAAGAAACAAACTAATTATGTTTTTTCAGTTATTATTTGTGTGTTTAAAACCTAATTAAACATCATATTGATGACCATTAAACACTGTTGGTTACTTGGATATAATTTGTGTGTTTAAAACCGTGTTAATCATGATAATGGTGACAATTATGATTTTGATGTACAACTACAACCACGAGTACATACAAAAGGTAGAACGAAAAAAATAATTACGCTTCCACTTTGGTTCATCTCGTTATTGATTAATCTCAAACTTTTACATCGGCGTAAAGTTCTGGTCTAATGGCATCAGGAGACGGACATTCAATAGTGTGAGCGTAATCGTGATGTAATCGTTTGTTGTTCTAGCTTCTCACTAGTTTTGAAGTCTTATTGTTCAAAAAAAGAAATAGTGTGAGCGTAATTTATTTTAAAATAAAAAAAGTATTCACACATACCTCAGTTAACATGCACATTCTCGACATACGACTCGAATTCAAGTCGTATAGTTCAATTAAATTTTTTTCTTCATGTTTTGGGGTTGAATCATTGGTGTCCGGTTTTACACACTACAAGGAAAACGATCATTAGCGGCGACAAAAGTCGCCGGTAATAAGTCAAGTTGTCGCCGGTAATAGTAATAGCGGCGACGCGTCGCCGATAATAAGTCGCCGCTACTGCTCCGTCGCTATTGATCAACTTGTCGCCGCTAATGAGAGATGTCACCGCTAATGACTCTGTCGCCGCTAATGAGGTGTGTCGCCGCTAATAACAAAGTCGCCGATAATAACTCTGTCGCTGGTAATAACAATTTTCATTTTTTTAATTAACGATTTTGGTTGCCAGTAATAATGTCGTTGGTAATTACATAACAACATTCGATTAAATATCAAAAATAATAGTGTCGACGCTAATTACAAAACAAACATCCGATTATAATTAATTAAATATCAAAAGTCATAATATCCGATTAAATATAAAAAGTAATAATGTCGTCCGGTAATTACATAACATCCGATTAAATATAAAAAGTAATAATGTCGCCCGGTATTAGTATCCCCGGTAATTACAAAAAACAACCAAAGTTTTACAATCTACCAAGTAGCAAAGCGTGACAACGTATGCAAATAAAACTCATCCCTACATACCATCATCTTTGTTCCCATCGTTTCCTCGATTATTTTGGGATTGAAAAAACGAATAAAGCTCATCCCTACATGCCGGGTCGTTGAGCATTGCACGAAGATTTTCCAACTACATAATTAATAACAACATATATAAACTTATAAGTTAAATTATCAAACATAAACAAAAACTATCAAAATACATTGTTATTTTTAAACTAAGACAAAAAACCAAAGTACGTTGTTATACTTTGCACTTGGGACAAAAACCTAATTACCAAAGTTTTTAGCAAATAATCACCACAAAACCAAAATTACCAAATCAACATGCATTTTACGATGCTAAAGTAGATTGCTATTTTTAAACTAAGACAAAAAACCAAAGTACGTTGTTATTTTTTGCACTTGGGACAAAAACCTAATTACCAAACTTTTTAGCAAATAATCACCACAAAACCAAAATTACCAAATCAACATGCATTTTACGTTGCTAAAGTAGATTACTATTTTTAAACTAAGACAAAAAACCAAAGTACGTTGTTATTTTTTGCACTTGGGACAAAAACCTAATTACCAAACTTTTTAGCAAAAAATCACCACAAAACCAAAATTACCAAATCAACATGCATTTTACGATGCTAAAGTAGATTACTATTTTTAAACTAAGACAAAAAAAAAACCAAAGTACGTTGTTATTTTTTGCACTTGGGACAAAAACCTAATTACCAAACTTTTTAGCAAATAATAACCACAAAACCAAAATTACCAAATCAACATGCATTTTACGATGCTAAAGTAG